TTTTTTTTATTGATTCATGTTTTGGCTCAAACTACTCTTTATTGGTTAATTTACAATTAAACATTTACATTGAATAGAAATGTCACACTGTTATATAGCTGCTTCAAAATACAAATTAAAAAAAAAATTCTTGAAATCAAAAAAAATTTCATTTATATCTAGATGCGGAAGTAGAATAAGGTCTTCTTAATGTTTTATGACTAAACGATAGTGGTACATGACTAAAATACATGAGTGCTTGTTCAAGACAGTTTTCGATTTATTCTCCTTCTTCTCTCTAATCTCGCTAATGGAAATGGTAGCGATATGCTTACACGTCTTTTATTTGTTGATGTATGGCTAGTGTTTAGTTTATTTTTAGCTTCAATTTCTCATAGAAATCAAACTTGATTGGATTTATTGACAATGGCATAATTGAGGCCATTGAATTTTCGATGATTGACGAGATCGTCGGCGCTAGACGAGGTTCCGATGCCGATTGTATTTGAATCGTTGGATGTTGGTGATTTCGGCGACGAATTGATATTTGTTATTGGTTTTCGAAGTACCCCATATCCCATATGACTGTCGTCGGCCAAACGATATGGCTTCGGTTCAATCGTTGGCTTGCCATTGTTGGTGGTCGACGTGGTGGTGTTGGTAGCGTTGGTTGTAATCGTTGCACAATCGCCAATAATCTCATAATCATTCGATGTGATCGGTTGCGATGTTTGCTTCTTGTATGCCGGCGCTGTAATTGTCACAATGGTTCGATAGTCATTATTTGGATTGATTGGCTTCGCTTTTGGTTCAAAGTTGAGCGTATCGTAGTCGCCATTTTTCTTTCTCGTCGACAATAATTCAGCTTCATATGCAGTCATAGTGACTGGCATTTTGCGAGCCGAACCGAACTCCTTCTGAGATTGCGATCGTTGCCAAACGAATTCGGTAATTTCATCTTCAATTGTGCTCGAATTTTCCGTATGTCGAACATCATTTACGCCCAACGTTTTCCAAGCGCTTGTAATATTTTCGATTTGCTCATAGTTTCGATCGTCGTGAATCATACTTTCGTAGCGGGCCGGTATTCGTGGTGGTTGATCAACGACGGGCGAGTGAACCGGTGATTTTATGGTCGAATGAGATAAATTGCCGTTACTCGGAATGGGAGATGTGGGCAACGGTGGCGGCGGTGAGGATTTCAATACAATCGACGTTGGTTTTGATAGTTCATTTGTGCCAGTTTGGGCCAATGAAACGGGCTCATAGTCCTGATACTTTGATTTTGGCGATGGCTTCGGTGGAACGGGTTTGCCATTATTTTCCGTGCCCGGAATGGATTTTCGTGGCGGTTTCAATGGTGTTATTTTCATATTGGCCGGCGGTATGCTTGATGTGGTCGATGTGTTAATGGAAATATTATTCAATGAATCGGTCGATGATAAAAATCCGTGCAACAAATGACTATTTTGACTCTGTGTGCTATCCGAATAGTTTTGATTTGGTGACGGTGGCAATGGTGAACGTGAGCCAGCCTCCATCGATAGAGCCGCATTAAATTGATGTTCGCCACAGTCTAAACTGCCAATCGTATCGCCGTTGATCAGTTTTTTCATTGATTTCATTTTGGCTGCCATGCACCGGAACACTTCTTGTGGATTTGTGTGCTGAAACTTGAATTCACCTTCGCCCGTATCACATTTTCGTCCCGCTTCAAACGTGAATTTACCATCACGATATCCATACTTTCGAATGTATCGATACGGCCACTGTGTGACCAAAATCACTCCGTTCATATCAAGAAATTTCAATTGAATTTCCGTCGCCGTTAGTTGTAGTGTGAATGTGGTCGGTATGGGTTTATTAGGTTCTATATGTAAATTTTTCTCGATGGTATATTTGAGCTTGGCTGAATCGGCCGTTTGTAAATTTACGGTGAATATGCCATCCGAGTACGAGGTACAGTAGAGATCATTTTCCTCTTCCCTCACCGAATTAGTGCGAGACAGTAGATTTGCTTTGTCATTGAACGCAACACTTTGCAGCGCTTCAATCCATTGCTTCAGATCTGCCTCGTTGAGAGCGAACAGTGTGCATGTTTCGTTTGTCTTTTTAACGATATTGATTTGATTGGTTGGCTCTTGTGTGATTTTTATACAATTTTCCAATGTGACAATCTTCGGATTTTTGTCATCCTCCTTGTCCAATATCTCCAAACGTTCAATGCCATGCCGACTTGCCCGGAATAAAATACAGTGTTTTTGCAGTTTCTGTGGAAAGGCAACGGACAAAGAATACATTTCAATTAGAATGGTGTTAAAATTTTGGTTATGCCAATTAGATAATGGCTAAATAAAAATTGGAATCACATGCACGCAACAGTCGAAACATGAATTGAATACGTAAAATGAAATCCATCGAATGCGATGATCTTCTACGACACCCTGTGATGCTATTTCCTCTCTGCTTTTGACAGCACACATTTCGCAAGCGCTCAGCTAAACACACATTTGGACTTTCACTCACATTCGCAGCAAAGAGAACCA